TATTTCAGCCCCGCTGTTTTGGGAGTAAGGTTATGTACATGACCTTAGATGGCGGAAACAGCTTCCATGGAGCTTGGGTGCCATGGTCAATGAGTATTTAATTTCCATGATAACCTCAATTCCTATATGACTGTATAGAAGTAGTCAACAATGGGCATGTGCTGAATTTTCATGTTAAAATCAATGGGATTTAAACCCATTTAAATGCCTGATGTTTCCTTGCTACATTGCGTTTATGCTATATTATGGAAAGTGTTATGGGGCTTTTTAAATGAATGGTTGTGCCTTACTGCTTTGAACATGTTTTCAGTGTTGCTTCACCCCCCATTTTTTATTAATGAATGAATTAATTAATTAAAATTCATTTTTAAAAATCTCCATAACACATATAACCACAGATTAGCCATAGCTAGTTATAGATCAGCGCCCTAGTTATAGACTAATTATAACTCTAGGTTTGTCAACACACTTAGAGGGGAGCATGACAATGATAGCTCTCAAGAACTGCTCATGCCTGCTTGTAGCCTTTGCATTTCAGCAAGAACCCAGATTTTCTAGGGTTGTGGCTCACATATAGAGCCTACACATGATCAGGAACCCTCCTCTCTTGACACTTTCTGTTCCTTTTGTGAGCAAAGAGACAGCTGCAAAGGTGGGACTAACCACCCACTAGAAGTATGCTGACAAAGGCAGAGGGTTAAGTGCCCATTACTACTTGTTATCACTTCTCATCTGAGAACTAGTCTGACAAGCAGAGTCCAAGCAACTAGATGTGTATGCAGTTGCTCTAGCTCACTCCATCAATTCTCAAGGAAAGAAATATTTTTCAAAGCAACAAAGTCTTCTGCATCTTCAAGGCTAACAAATTTTATTTGGTATTAGCTTTGGTACCATGCCGTCCCCTTCACCACTCACCTTACAGGAATTCATGGGCTGCAGCCCATAAAAGTTTATACCAGCCAAGCAAAATATTTTTAGTTGGCCAAGGTGTCTCATGATTCTTTGCTGGTATTGCTGCAAAGGTCTACTCAGCTACCCTACTATAAATCTTTCTCAAGCAAATCCCTTTTTAAATAATCTTCATAAAGTTTATTAGAAAAGCCAAACTCTTTCCAATTTAGTCTCCTTTTGTGCCACAGATAGCCATTCAGAATGCATCATTTTGTTCGTTTGAAGGGTGTTTGTGTAGGCTAGATTTTGTCCTTCATTCTCATAGACGATCATTTCCATCAGATTCACCATGGGGAGGGCAGGGGGAGAAAAGAAGTCGATGGTTAAGATTGAACAGTAGCAAGTTGATGGGCATGCAGGTAACTGACTATACTGTACACGCCCTGCCTGATACAGAAACAGTGGGGGCATTTTAGCAGATCTAGGATTCATTGGGCTGTTGCATCCTTATTACCCCACCCACAACCAATTCACTTTAGTTATTCCAGATTATCAGCCACTAACCCACTCCAATCCTGGTCACTGGACTGCTGATTCACACAAGGCCTTCTCTGAATACATGCAACTAAAGAAGTAGCAACAAACTTATTTATATGGGGAAGAGCCTCAGTCCCAACTATGCCTCGTTTTTTTTTTAATTGCCTGATTTATCTTGTTGGAAAGAGAAAGGGAGACTTGTATTTCTTGTTCTATCTCAGTGGGTGCATACCCCTCTGTTTCTCACTGCATGCACATAAAAATCAAGCTCAACTCTAAAGCAAGCAAGGGTGCTCGTGTGGCCCTCCAGATTTGCTAGGCTTTCCCTCGTCCCTTACCACTGCATATGCTGGCTGGGGTTGATAGGAGCTTCAGTCTAACATCTTGAGGGTTGCAGTTGCTCACCTATGGTGTAAAAGCATATTTAGCAGCCTTTAAGCAGCCTTCCACGCCCCTTTTTTCCTTCTCTTGGAAGGTATTCTTTGGTTAGGGGACCAGGTCTAGAGCTCTCACCTGCAGTTTTCATTGTTTTAAAATCTGGACCACAATAAGAGCCAAAGAGTTAAGGTTTCCTGGTCCCTCCGCCTCTGTTCACCTCCAGTCTAGGTTCTCAATCTGTATTGTGTCCATGGCACTTCCTTTGGTTAAAAAAGTAGGGAAACATAAATGCTGGCTATCTCTGCACAGTCAAGTGGGGCATCTGTGGGGACAGCAGAGGAGATTTGAGGAGTAGACAGAGGAAGAGATAAAAAATGAGGAAGAAAGGTGTGTGGTGGTTGCTTCTGGCCACATATTTGTTTTTATTATTTTAATGTATCTTTGTTTTTAGAGAATGAAATTATATATGACAAAGTGTACTAACCAGAAAAAGGAATTACTTCTTTGCTTTGCCTAACAGGATTTTGTTTTGATTCCCTTCTGAAGTGGAGTTAAGCATACATACAGAACTGCAAGCTAATTTATGTGTTTCCTTACTTGTTATTATTTCCCAAGCTATTCCATGGGAAAGCAGGGTCTCTGTTAGGGGACAGGTCTGTGCTACTGTAGTTACTTGGATTGTCTCCCTTCAGATTCTGCTATCCAGAATCTTTTAAATTTCCCAAAGCTGCTTTTTCCATGGTCTTTAGTTTCTGACTGCTGGAGGAGGGAGGTTTTCTTATTAGATATCGGAGGATTAAAGCTAAGCAGACTGTTTTGTCCCATTTGCAAAAGAGTGGTCCGGTGGGCCAGATAGGCGGGGTATAAATTAAATAATTAAATAAATAAATAACTTTTTTGGTTGTTGTGGGGTTTTTTGGGTTGTTTGGCTGCATTCTGGAGACAGCCCGAAAAACCGACAACAACCAGTGGATCCCGGCCATGAAAGCCTTCAAGAACACATAACTTTTTTAATTAACAGATTTGTATATGTTTTTCGGGTGTTGGAGAAGTTTTAAATTAATTAAATTAGTTTCTGAGCTCAAAACTTTGTCTTTTTAAAAAATAGGTTTTGAGGAAAAGCTCTGTTACAGACTTGCTCACTGTAATTTATTTTTCTCTCTGTGAATCCTAAAGGTAGCTACCTGCTTCATGGGTACCTGGTTTTATAAAACGTATCTAGCACCACCACTTCCCCCGCTGTGAAACAGGTTCTTGCAACTCCTTTATTGTCCTTTATACTTTGTGTTGCAGGCTCTACCTACTGTGACCTTGACTCTCCCTGTGCCTACTTCTGCCCTGCCTTCTGCCACACCAATCACAACCAGCACCAGCTACCATTGCTATGGCATTAAATGTATCTAACGTCTAGGGGGAAAATAATAAATTCCTGCATTACATTTCCTGCACTTTCTTTCAGTCTCTTGTTTGGATAGATATGTACTTTGAGTAGAATGCACTATTTACTGAAAGTTCACCTTGTTTAGAAAAAGACAAGAAAGCATTTTTACACCTTTGCATCTTTAGACTTGACAGTTGACAAAGACTTAGCAAACAGTGGTTTATTAAAGTCAGCTTCTATCCACAGACAATTTTAAGTGAAAACGGAAACTTGCTACCATATTCCAGTATCTTGGCACACGGAAAGATAATTCTTGGCATTAACCTTTTCAACAGTCCTATGTAGTTCTCCAGCTAAAATGTTCCTAAGTCTTCTTTAAATGAAAGCAAATAAAAGTATGTTTTTAATTAAAAATTTGGCTCTTTAGGCAGGCCTTCCCTCCCACCAATTCTTGATTGTACTTTCTTGCTTTTGTTGTTTATTCTCCCATCTTGATCATATTATTATTGTAGATTTTAAGTGTTGTTATATTTGTTTGTGCACAATATGTTGTCAGCCGCCCTGAGTAGACGCCTGTCTAGAAGAACGGGATATAAATCCATGGATGGATGGATGGATGGATGGATGGA